GTTTTGGCAAATGAATATACCCATCAAGCTGGACCCAATCATATAGAATATTTCCATCATCCACCAAATGTTCCCTGTGCCACATTCTAGATAATTCTCGCCCCCCCACCAACTGTCCACCCCAGGCAACCATTGATCTTTTCCTGTCACTATTGATTAGACTTATGTTTTCTAGATTTTCATACAAATGTAGTCATGTGTATGTATTTGTGTATGTATTCTCTTGTGTCTAGCTTCTTTTGCTCAGTATATGTCACTACATATGTCAGTAGTTCATTTCTTTGTATTGCTGAGCAATATTCCATTGTGCAGATATACCACAATTTATACATTCATCTGTTGATGGACAGTTGGGTTGTTTTGTTTCTAATCTCTAGGTATTAAGAACAAAACTGCTATTAACATTTCTGTACAAGTCTATACAAGTACAACAAGGATGCTTCTTAGAAGCAAGGATGGCGAGGCTATGTCTTACATACTTTAGACGTGTTATCAGCAGGGATCAGTCCCTGGAGAAGGACATCATGCTTGGTAAAGTACAGGGTCACCGAAAAAGAGGAAGACCCTAAATAAGATGGATTGACACAGTGGCTGCAACAGTGGGCTCGAGCATAATGATTGTAAGCATGGCACAGGACCAGGCAGTGTTTCATTCTGTAGTATCTAGGATCGGTATGAGTCGGAACCGACTTGAGGGCACCTAACAACAACAACAACAACATATGAGCCTTTGTGTGGATATAGGTTTTCATTTCTCTTGGGTAAACACCCAAGGAAGACTTATTAACAACCTGCAATATGCAGATAACATAACCTTGCTTGCTGAAAGTGAAGACAACTTGAAGCACTTACTGATGAAGATCAAAGACTACAGCCTTCAGTATAGATTACGCCTCAATAAAAAGAAAATAAAAATCCTCACAACTGGACCAATAAGCAGTATCATGATAAACAGAGAAAATGTTGAAGTCGTCAAGAATTTCATTTTACTTGGATCAACAATCAATGCCCATGGAAGCGTCGGTCAAGAAATCAAATGATGTATTGCATTGGGCAAATCTGCTGCAAAAGATCTCTTCAAAGTTTTAAAAAGCAAAGATGTCGCTTTGAGGACTAAGATGTGCCTGACCCAAGCCATGGCATTTTCAATCAGCTTATATGCCTGCGAAAGCTATACAGTGAAAAAGGAAGACTGAAGAATTGATGCATTTGAATTATGGTGCTGGCGAATAATACTGAATATACCATGGACTGCTGGAAGAATGAACAAATCTGTCTTGGAGAAGTACAGCCAGAATGCTCCTTGGAAACAAAGATGGCGAGACTTCATCTAGTTGACTTTAGACACGCTATCAGGAGTGATCAACCCTTGCAGAAGGACATCATGCTTGGTAAAGCAGAGGATCAGTGAAAAAGGAAGACCCTCAGCAAGATGGATTGACACAGTGGCTGCAACAGTGGGCTTAAACATAGCAACAATTGTAAGGATGGTGCAGGACTGGGCACGGTTTTGTTCTATAATACATAGGGTCACTTTGAGTAGGAATCTACTTGACAGTACCTAACAATAACAACATGGTAAGTGTATGTTTCACTTTATGAAATTGCCAAATTGTTTTCCAATGTAGTTGTCCTATTTTGCATTCCCACTAACAATTCTAATGATGTATAATAGGATTCCATTGTGGTTTTAATGTGCTTTTCCCTGGTGACTAATGATGCTGAGCATTATTACTTACCACTTCATCTACTTACAAGGAAAAAGAATTACAGTGTTTATCATCTTATTGAGTTGTAAGAGTTCTTCATACATTCTAGATACAAATGCTTTTTCAGGTATACGTATTGAGAGCATTTTCTCCAAGTCTGTTGCTTATCTTTTCATTTTCTTAACAATGCTTTGAAGAGAAGTTTTTAATTTTGATGAAGTCCAACTTATCAATTATTTTCCTTTAGGGGAAGAAATATTTGCCTAGCCTATAATTATAAAGATTTTCTCCTCTCCTCTGTTTTCTTCTAGAAGTTTATGTTTTAGCTTTTACCTTTAGGTCTGTGATCCATTTTGAGTTAATGTTTGTGTTCGGTGCAAAGTGAGGGCCAAAGTTGATTTTTTTTCTGAATGAACTTCTTGTTGTCCTGCACTGTTTTAAAAAGACTATCATTTCACCCACTGGTACCTTTGCCACATTGGCACCTTTGCTGAAAAGCAATTGACCACATATACAGTCACCATGTCTCTCTCAGGCCATGGAAGCTGCTCTTGTCCATTTACCCTCAGCATTGGGGAGAGGAGTAACAAAGACACCTCAGAGGATTACCTGAAGGTTACATGTTTCCTCCCTGCTCTCATTTTGCAACAGCAGCTCTACCTGATCCTGATGATCAGAATAAATAGCCACCTAGGAAACAGGCCTGGAGATCTGCTTCTGGAAGGTCACAGCCTTTAAAACCCTATGGAGCAGTTCTACTCTGCACATATGGCAGTCACCATGAGTTTGAATCAACTCGACAACAATCAACAACAAGTATGGTGACTTCTATTCTTGTTGACTGATCTCTTGGCACAAGGAGCCTGAAATGACAGGAACATAGCCATAGTATAAAATTTAAAGTGACTCTTACTGGTCCCCTGGTGGAATAGTTCTCCTTCTAATAACCTCAACCCCTAGAACTATAGAGCCTAAAGTTTTGCAGATGGGAAGCGCAAATTTGCAATAAATTCCTGGGAATAATGATAAGTAGGCCACTTCTAATTCTACCCATTGGTTTCCAGATTTTTTAGGGAAAGAATTCTGCCTTTTAGGGAAACAGCAGTGTATAATAGTTGTGGATTTAGGTTATATACTGCAGCCTGGTGTAGATGTCATTCTTTCAAGGTCTCATCTCTATAAGTTGGTGCCTCAGATGTACCTTCAAGAGACTGTTCCATCGTTCTCTCAGGCCAGGAGCTTCTGGGTGGTGTGCTACCACCCAGATAGGACCAGGGGATCCTATGGTCTCGTACCACTGCCCCACTTTCTTTGCTGTAAATATCTCCTTTGATCCCAAGCGATATTATTATGTAAGATCCTGTTATGGATCAAAGTCTCTATAAACTGTTAGTTGTGCTGGCAGAGCCACATAGCTAGGAGAGGAAAACCTACACCTGGAATATATGTCAATCCCAGTCAACATGAATTGCTGCTCCATCCAGTGTAATCAACCTGTCATCAAGTTGTGGTATAGTGTCATATCAGAGACTCAGCATGGGTCTCTGTTGCTGCAAGGTTGGACATTCGGCAGTAGCAGTAGCTGGCTAGATCAGCCTTGTGGAGTGCTAGTCCATGCCAGTGCATAGTTTCCATCCCTGTCCTCATGGTTACTCGGTTCATGGACTCATTATGTCTGCACTGGGGTGGGCGATACCAGGGGTTGGCTGACATCAGCTGGATTAGTCACTCTTTCTACGTGCTTGTTTAATGCCTTTTCCATGGTGGGCTCACTCCCACAAGCCTAGCCACATATTTCTCCACAATGCCCTTATCCTCCATCTTCCAATCCTTTTCTTTCTAGGCCTCAGACCAACTAGCAAAGGCATTTGTCACTGCCCAAAAGTCCATTTATCTTCCTATCTCATGCCACAGGGTCTGCCAGTGAGGGGAATTTCCCCTCACTGCTGTCCTTCTGGGCATCCCTGAGTGGGACAGAGGCATACAAGCAGCCCATTTTTGGCTTGCATGCACATGCCAAGCCAACCCATCTCCAAATCAAACTCAGGCATTTTCCTCCTCCATCAGCTGGTCATAATGACTCCCCCTCCCCTCCACGCGCACACACACATGCACGTATTCCCATGCAGCCACAGGCACGAGCTGAGAGATCCTAGTGTAATAGTAATGGATGGTATGGGCTGGGCCACCTGCTCATGCAGTTTACTTATTTCCTTTGGTCCTGCTTATTTCCAGTGGTAGATGTACTGTTTCCATCTTACAATGGATTGTTGTAGGTAGTTCAGGGTGCCTTCAGCTTTCTGTTTCACCAACACTAGGGTGTGGCTTTCATTCTAAACAGCCCAAGATAGAGTGCCAGTTATCTATCCACATTACAATGCTGAATGGGTAAAGGGAAGAAGGAAAGACTTGTCCCCTCCTTTTAGAGACCTGTTCTGGAAATTGTGGACTCACTTCCTCTCATATCCCATCGATCAGAACTTACTTCTATGGTTACCAAAAATTAGTTGCTGTCAAGTTGATTCTGACTCACAGTGACCCCATGTGTGTCAGAGTAGAATTGTGCTCCATAGGGTTTTCAGTGGCTGATTTTTCAGAAGTAGATCTCCAGACCTTTCTTCCAAAGTGTCTCTGGGTGGACTCAAACCTCCAACCTTTTGGTTAGCAGCCAAGTGGGTTAACCATTTACATCACCCAGTGACTTCTCTAAGGCTACAAACAGCTGCAAATAAGGCTGGGAAATACAGACTATATTTTGTTCAGCCATGTTCCCAGGTAAGTATCGGCAGTTATGTTATTAAAGGGGGAGAAATACACATTGGGGATGTCTCTGCCATATACACACATAACAGAGAGAAAACGCAATGCTCAGATAACATTTTGCAAAGTAGTAAATCAGAAGCGTCCAGCCTTTGGGAAGCTGTCTTTGTTTGTCTTGATTTCTTCCACTTGCCCAAATGTAAGTCTCCTGCTTCTATTTCCTGTTTTCGTGGGTAACACCATGAGTTCAACCGAGCCCCCACAACTTGGCAGGCTCACTTCACAGAGGGCTTCTTCTGTGGCTTTGGATATTCAGGAATGTATCCCATTTGCCCTACATGAGCTCAGCTCTCCAAGCATCAGTCTCATTTGGCACTAATGATTTATTTATAAGTAATCATTAACCTTTTCTGAAGTATTTTGATTTGAATTTGGTTTGCTAAAATTAAAACACTGGCTTTCTGAGGACTCAGGAAAATTACACTAGCAAGTTAAGAAAAAGAATCAGAGACATAAGGTGGGAGTAAGAAATTAAAGTTAAAAGTCATTTAAATGTTTCTTTTGGAGCTGCTTTGACTGCTACGGTAGTGGGTGTTTCCTAGTCTTTTTCTGTTTAAACCTGGAATTTTCAGTACTCTCATTGTCCACATCAATGCTACAAGATTTAGGTGAGGGGGTAGCAAGGTAGGGGGGACTCCTATATGCTAAACATTATCCTTGGTGCTGCAGTAAATACAAAACAAAGTTATGCCGTAGGTTTCAGGCGGCAGCCTAATGTCATGGGAAGGACAAGGGTATGGATTTAGTCAGGGTACAATAGGCTATGCTGCAGTAACAAATAAATTGTGAAATTTCAGTGGCTTAACACGATCCATATTTGTTTCTTACTCCTCTTTCAGTTGTGATGCAGCTCTGGTGGCCATTCTCCATCTGATAGGGCTGTCGTCTGGAACTTACGTCCTTCAAGGTTGCCATGGGCAGGGAACGGAGGACAGGGACCCTGTGGATGCTTTTAAAGACCAGGCCTAGAATTTCCCTACGATCCCTCTGCAACATTGTGCAGGCCCAAGTTCAATCGCATGGCAGGAACCAAATTTCAAGGTCAACGGAGGCTGGGAGCCTAGTCTCCTGTGTGTCCAAGAGTAGGAAATGGAGTGGTGAGTACATAGAATGTCTCTCCCACGCCTGGGTTTAGCTCCCAGCTCTTCTGCTTTCTGTCTTCATGATTATAGGTGATTATTACACAGTTTTTCAGCCTCCGTTGTCTTATATATAAAATACACATAATATCGACTGTATGGGTAAAAGTTAAGTGCTTGGTATCTAGTATTCATTAAATGCTAGTTCCTTTTCCTCTATTTAGAGGAATCTACAGTCTTGGAGATAGTACTTAGCATATATGAAAAAACTAGAAGCATCTCCAAATTTGTATGAAAGATGACCTGCCTCCAAATCAACTGGGAGTGATTTTTAAGATGATGGTTTCTCTTCCTTCCCTATCCAGACAAAAACAACCAAAATTGGAATCTCTGAGAGTGAGCCTGGGAACATTAATTTTATATATTATCTTTCCAGATAATTCTTACATCTACCAAAGTTTGAGAAGCACTTGAATAGAGTCCAAGAGAGGATATAATCAAGTGCCAAATGTGCACAGTAAGGCAGCAAGTACGCTGGGAGGCTGGAAAGGAAGAGGAGAGAAAAGGAAGAGGGTGGGAGGCGGGTGCTGCATACAGAAGGCGAGGGTTAAGAGCAGCCTCAGGGCACAGGTTTGAATAAGATGAGATGTGAGGAGAAGGCAGTCTGGGCAGGAAGCCATAGGAGCAAGTCAAGGAGGAGACCATGGGTGCAGCAGATAGCAGGAGAGAAAACTCACGCTGAAAGCTTGTGGGAGATGAGGATGTCAGGAGAGGGGAGTCAGATTATTGCAAGCCTTGGAAACTAGGCGGATGAGTTCAGATTTAATGCAGTAGGCAATTCTGATGGCTCTTGAAGAGAAATGTCATATGGTAATTGTTATTGTGTATTGATTTGTGGTCCCCCAAAAGATACATTAAAGTCCTAACCCTGTACCTGTGAATCTAACCCTGTTTGGAAATAGGGGTTTTCTTTTTGTTATGTTAATGCAATCCTGCTGGAGCAGGGTGGGTCCTAAACCTAATCCCTTCTGAGTAGTGTCTTATAGAAAGAGCAGAATAGGCACAGAGAGACAGACACACTGGGGGAAGACAGACATCATGTGACGATCTTTCCACAAGCCAAGGAATACCAAGGAATGCCTGGGGCTACGACAAGGAAGGACCCTCCCCTAGAGCTGATGCCCTGACTTAGAGTTCTAGCTTCCCAAACTGTGAGACAATGTCTTAGTTATCTAGTGCTGCTATAACAGAAATACCACAAGTGGATGGTTTTAACAAAGAAAAATTTATTTTCTCACAGTTTAGGAGGCTAGAAGTCCGAATTCAGGATGCCACCTCCGGAGGAAGGCTTTCTGTCTCTGTCAGCTCTGGGGAAGGTCCTTGTCATCAATCTTCCCCTGATCGAGGAGCTTCTCAGCTCAGGGACCCCAGGTCCAAAGGACATCCTATTCTCCTGGCTCTTGTTTCTTGGTGATATGAGGTCCACCTGTCTCTCTGCTCACTTCTTTTATGTCTACAAAGAGATTGACTTAAGATACAACCTAATGTGTAGATTGAGTCCTGCCTCATTAACATAACTGCTGCTAATCCCACCTCATTAACTTCATAGAGGTAGGATTTACAACACATAGGAAACTCATACCAGATGACAAAATGGTGGACAATCACGCAATACTGGGAATCATGGACTAGCCAAGTTGATACACATTTTTTAGGGGGACATAATCCATAACAGACAATAAATTCTTGGTCTTTAAAGCCACCTGCTTGTGGTATTTGTGGTATGGCAATACTAGGTAACTAAGACAATTGTCATGTCATCATCCAAGAAAATCCTTTCACTGTAGCAAGAATTTCAATAAAATATAAATTATTAATATAGTATTATAAATTA